AAGGAAGGAGACGTTAACGTACCTGGTAAGGAGACATATCAAAGTCGATCTTAACGGGACTTCCTGGGCGCGAGTCCGCTGACGACTCATCAACCGTCTGACTCGTCAGGATCAGCTTCGTGAGTTGCTGTATCCTATTGTTCAGGTCTTTCATGGCTTTCGATTCGTCTGTTTTCTGTCAAACAAATTCATCAACAATGAAAGAAAGAAGGTTCGAAGGCCATTGGTTACCTCTTTCACAGATAGCCTTCGTTTCACAGACGCAGATGAAGACTGGCGTCGATCATCAACAGCGGCTTCCTTCTCCATAAGTCGGGCCTTGAGGTCTTCGATTTCCTTCCTGTACCGTTCAATGAGCGCATCTGTATCAACGATCTCCTTCTTCTGGGCGTTAAGCTAAAACACGGACATGAACACCGAAAACAGAGCGAAGTGATAGCGATCCGAACCTTAACACCTTTGATGCGTCTGGCAAAGAGAAGGGTGCTCGTGCTCTCTGCAATTGCACTAACGTCAGGGTTGATGGTGCAAACAACACTAATCCGAGCGTTTCCAGACAGAGATGGCTGAAGCATCCTGGTGAGCTTCGAGTTCCGGAAGGGAACGTGGTCACTAGGAACAGGTGAACATCCAAAACGCAGTGGACGAACGGAAGAGCCAGCAAAATAACGTACCTCTTCCCTTTGGCGACATTTTCTGAGAGGGTTCCAATGACAGTACCAAGGGTCAACAGACTGGAGCCAAAGGCTATCAGCAAGGTTACAGAAAACTGAAGGCAACTGCTGACCTAGTGTTGATATACTTCCCTTCCCTTGTACGTTCCTTATCACTCGTTGCCTTTTCCGAACCGGCCAGGTCGATAAGACTCTGTCAAATTTGCCGTCAGCAATATTATGGTGCAAACGGAGGAGATACTCACCAGAACTGACGTCTGAACGCTCCTTCCACCTCTTGCTTGCAGCTTTGGACCAGGCTTACTGCCGGCTGCAGGACCGGGAGTCTGCCTACCACTCATTCCCGGTGTCTGCCTTCCACTTGGCGCTGGCGTAACACGGCCGTGGAAGGACTCGTCGACCGCTTCACCGCGCTCTCGGCTCTCAACGACCAGCCGGAAAACACTGTGGCTCCGACTGCTCCTCTTGTTCCAATCCGTACAAGCCGTCCGCCGATGGCTCTCTCCACGCTTCAACACATCCTTCACACCCTTCAGACTCGTCACGACTTCCTCGCGCAGGGGCATCAAAATGATTTCGCTTCCTCCTCCCCCTTGGATCATGACAGCCGGGCTGCCAACAGGGGCAAGGAGGTCGTGGATGGACTCGTTGTAAATTTCGAGATAGGAGCAGCGCAGGAGATATTCCCTGCCATCGTTTCTCTTGATGAAGCGGAAGACATCCTTCATGGCGCGGGGGATGATACCGGGTTCGCTCTCGTCTCCAGAGAGGGTATACGTCTTTCCCGATGCAGTCTGGCCGTATGCGAATATGACAGAGTTGTATCCTTCCATGGCAGCATAAACGTGTGACTGAGCGACTGTGCTGTAGATGGGCTTGTTCGACGAACCAGTGAGAACCGCGTCAAAGTCGAATTTATTGTCGGCTGGATTTGGTGCACCAGACTTGGCATGAACGGGATCTAGATGGATGGAACTAGCGCTCGACGACGCAACCCAGGCCGAGTCCGTATTCGATGGTCGTACCCTGGAACAGAATAAAGCTTCACATCGACACGAGCAGCGACCAGGACACACCTGATAGAGACCATGACCTTATCCTTCTTCCCATGATCAGCACTCATCGTCCTCAACCATGCCTCGTCCATCTCGGCAGACACATCCGCCTCGACAGTCTCCGAATCCACCAGGACCGCTTCGGGGTCGACATTACTGACATCCATCTTGCTCGGCGGGGAGTCCTCGAAAGTCGGCGTCTTGGCGCGCTCGTATGGGGTCTTTGGTCGCGGTGACCCGGGTATAGTCGCGAGGGGCTTGGCATACGACCTTGGTCGCGACTCGGACGACACAGGCGCTTTGTATCGCTTGTGTGTCGAGCCCAGGATATTGCTGGTACCAGAAGAGCCCGAGCCGGAACGGTTGAGGCGGTTGAGGAGGTCGTTGCTGGACGACGACGAGACGGAAGAGAGGGAGGACGTCGACAGAGGCCTCTTGTTAGGCGTGAATGGCGTTCGCCGAGCCATCTTTGACGACGGTGTGCTCGACACGGACATGATAGTGGTCGTCGCAGAGGAAGAAGGGAAGGGTCGTCGTCGTCGTCGTCGTTGAGAGGGTGTCAATCGTGGGAATGTTGATTGCCGTGAATTGGGAACGCGTCTCGTCATGTGACCGCATTCACGGCCCGATCCTTCTGTCCTCGGAAGCACAACCACCCATTTCGCCTTGGAAGACTGGACGTTCGCCTGTTGACCTAGGCAGAGGCTGCGTCAGCACAGTTGTCACCCTCAAAAGATGGATTCTCTTACCTGTGGTTGTTCAGAGCTTCTTGAGCGCACATTCACAACGCCGACAGTGTCCATGGTCCTATGTCGTTACCTGTGGCGCTTGCGTTAACACTGCATTACTAACAGTCCAAGAGCAGCGGAAATCAGACACTTACCTTCCTCACCGTCCGGAGAGTCAAAATTTCATGTACGTATCTCAAACTTGCATGTTCGCGTTTCAAGCGGCCTACAGTAAATTGAAGATGACCATTCAAGCTGAATCATTAAAGCCTCAAATAGATAAATTGGAACCGCCCACATAGGCTCTTGGCGTGTCCTTACTACCCGCATGGGTAATGCTGACTACTTCCCTTCTAAACTTCCTAAAATCTGGGTATCACTCTGCGGGTCGGAGATTTTCCCTGCTTTAGGTTTAACTGCGGACCACCTATCTTACCATTGCGCTCCCGAATATCCATCCTTTCGAAGCGAAGTCAGAGGAGACGAACTGGCTCGTTGAGCCAATCCCGGAGTCGGAGGATTACTAATCATCGTACAAAATAAGCTTTGTATGTATAAGCATCGCCGATGAATGACCAAAGCAATATCCCCGCCACCCGGTGAACTGATATTTACAACTCTTGACAACTTGCTCTCACTATCTCCCGACTCGCGTGCCCAAGTCTTCGATACCCAGGTTCGACTCTTACAGCAAAATTCCATCAGACCGTGTCATTTGTGTCATTCAGCTGCAAGATGATGCGAGAACACCAGAGTAAACTCGCTACCGGGATCGTATTGTGTCCTTCGATATCGGCTACGTCCTCTTTCGCGTATACCGCCCCAGTGATCATCCAAAATTATCCGTCAGAGGAGTGTTTGCGTTATCTTATCAGTTCCTGTTCCGTTTAGATAGCCTTCTTTCGAAGACGGCAACCCGTACCGACGGTGCGAAGCCTATGGATAAGACCTTCGACACGTGAATATTCATTCCTGAAATAAGCCCATAAAAATATGCGTCACAGCCGATAAGCTCATTGATACGCTTTCCACACCGCGGGAGACCGCCATGGATAGGTAATCGCACAATGTGATGCGACATTTTTGCGCAGAGCATGGAGTCAAAATAGGCGGGCGTACATATGAAACGGCTAGTTTCGGGGCGCCTGGGGAGCCGCTGTGATCTTTGTCACCGTGCTACTGAGGGAAAGGAAGAATCAACGTGCAATACAAGCAATGCTAAAACAAGAACCTGTGAAGATGAGCCATGAGTCATAAAAATACATCGCACCGGAGTTGATAAAACAAATTCATCAATACTTTGCTGAATCTAGAACTCTGGCGCGGGAGAAGCACGGGCATGATTTAAATAATGACTTATCTTTGGCGGTGCAATCAGTTGGATCAAAGAAACCACCGACGCCATCCTGAACAGCAACGGGCGCGCCGGTGAAACGCCAGAGATTTCGTTTCTAAACAGTTTAGCTGCACTACGAGCTGCGGGCCTGCAGTATTCTCATAGGCAGACGTAAATGACAGAGGACAGCTTGAACAGAACCGAAAGCATAGCAATTCCATTGAACCTAGTCTCGATACGAGCACAAGATTAGAGTCTCCTGAAGAGCTCAGTACAGTTAGTGACACTTATTCCATTGATCCAGAGAAACCGGCCTATAGTCACCGTATATCTCGTTATCTCGCTCCGGAAACGGGCCCAATCAGCCTCGAGTTCATTTCATTGTAGACCTAAACAAAAGGTCCAAGCCACAATCGCAAAAAACTTAGTATTCGAAGAACTTAGCTATACTCTTCGGGGGATACAAAGCGTAGCAATCCTTTCGATCAACGGCTTCCGGACTACTCAGGTCTACCAAAGCCATCAGTTACTGCATAAACCGAAGAAGTTCAACAAGTCATATCGGTTTACTCAACGCATCGTCAAGAACTTGGATGACGCATCTCTCTCCGACAATGCGTTGCTCCTCTTGGGTTCATCTCGGTGCCAAACGGCTTGGCTTTGTAAACATCTTGCATTATCACCTCCCATCACCACGACGACAACGCTGCACACCGACCCCGGAATTTCGACCCGAATATATTACGCTTGGTGATAAAGCGTGTCGGAGTGGCCCCAAGATGTATAGCTCCACCCCGGCTCCAGTGACTTTGCGGCAGACAGCAGTAACAGAACTAGATCTCTCCCATCAGCGCAGTATCTTCATTGAATGTCGACTCCCCTCAAACGAAGGAAGATAGATCAGTATTCACTTTACCAAAAATCCTACAGCGCTACGGTGAAATCCTCTGCCAATAAAGACAAGAGTTGGTCGCTGAGAGAGATGAAGCCAGAGCAACGGTTAGATATATTTTGTGCAACTAATGTTACCTGTGCGACTAGGGCATTTCGTAGACCAAAGTAGATTATACGGTTCTTACAGTCTTACGAGTGCTCCCAGCGACCTCCGTCATAGAGAAACGAGGGAGGGAACTCAGGGAAGAAATGGCAAACGGATAACGCCAAATCATTGATGCCACAATTAATTTCAATTACACAAGTCATCCATGGCAGAATGGCCGAGCGGTCTAAGGCGCTAGATCCAGGTGGTATTGCATCATTCTAGTCTTCGGGCGTGGGTTCGAATCCCACTTCTGTCAAGGATATTTTTGCGTCGCCCTTCAGTCCACGTGCTGAGTGAGCAATGAGCAATTGAGCATTGAGCACTGAGCCCTCAAACGTCCAACAGGTATTATCCATGGTTTTGTCCTGACCCTCCGTGAGGGGATGTTTTGATACCGTCACTTACTATTTCTTGCCTAGCCATGTTCCCACATGCCTCAGAGTGGCAGGCGCGGCGTTCTCGCAATTTTCCAAGCCCTTTCATCTTCGTATTTTTTACACATTTTTCGTGATCCTTCAGAAATTACTACGTAGATATGTTTTGCCCTAAAAGACATATGAATACAACAAACTTTAATATAATGATGACTTGGCTACTATATATCACCACATGACATGCAATTTACTTCGACTAAAGCCCCTGCAGCGGGGATAGGTAAGTTACCGGTAACCAAGTGGTGGCTTATCGGTCAGAAGCCACAGTGTATCAAAATATAGGGTTTCCTGCGCAACCTAGCCTTGGGACCTCAGTCTTAAGCCTTTGACAACACTTTTCGGTAGTTTTACTCTGGGGACTAAGTACACACCTTATCAGTAGTCTTCACACATATATCTTCTCTCAGCCTTGCAGTTTTTTAAGTATTCCGGTTTACAAGAGTCCTAAGCATCGTCAGCTCAAGACTCGACGAGGCCTCTTGGATCTTCACAAAGTTCTGATGCCAAGTAATAGACAATCTGCAAGTTTTCATGTTTCGCACGAGGAACGGAAGATTTAACTGAGGCTCCAACTTCTCTATGCTCCACTCAAAAAACTGTATTCTCCGATGTATAGGGCTATCTCTCCAACCTAGGATTATGTGACCATTCAGACTGACTCCTACGTTTCAATGCTTACGGGTAAAGAAAGACGTATGTTTTTTTACTCATTCAGGGAACTTCCGTCATTTCGCATCGCTTTCCGCCCCACATAGTCACGAGCAGTAACCCAGTGTAAGCATGTATGAGACGGTAGCCCACAAGCCGATACTTAAGCCTTCTTCGCTATTCATTCGGTGAATGATTCTGCCAACATGTAGCAATGTGTCTATCCCGCCATTAATCCATACAGATTACCGTTCTCCCAACAATGAATTGGTCTACCCCCGCTCCCGCTCCTACCGAGATACCTCAGGGAACAACAGCAATTACAATTCATTATTGCGGTTATCGGAACGCTGTCAGGTCCCCGAACAAAGTTATCTGCACCACGTTGGCAGTGTATGGTTCTTTAATATTTGCAGGAGACTTCGTCTCTCCGGTGATGAATGTGTGGGGTTCTGATCGAAACGGTGATAAGTGGATTCTCGTCCGGAAAAGCAGTGGATATCTATGGAATGTTATTGCTCTACAGGAATGCAGCTAAGGAAAAGTAAATCATACAAGTCTCTACGCAGTTTCAATAATAGTACATCGGATAGTGATACAGATAATGGAGTTTGAGAGTGATTCCAGGCGTCTAGATGCATATGAATAACACAATAGAGAATTACTTAGTGATCAGGAAAGAAAGAGAGTAGACCATTCGGATGGTCTTCCAAAGTGGCCGTTTCAACCTGCGAGACCTGATGGCGAATCACCATCAACTCATCCCAGAGATGAGGAGAAATTTCTTTATGCTTCCGCAGAAAGAAGCGAATACGATCCAACCACTCCTTCATAACATGAAACCTGTTCTCGGCAGCACCGTGTCTCCAAGAAGTCCCACCGTCTTGGATAGCTAGTAATGAAATTTGCGCCAGCCAATAGAACGGAAGAGCATTCTGTGCAAAGGGTGGCTCATCATCACCCTCCTTCTCGTCTTCCGGCTTTGTCGCATCTGGGCAAGACATCCACATACGAAGCCAGTTTGTCAGGGCGTATTGATTTGCAAAGTGGCTCCCCCGGCGGTCTTCTCTACCGCCGGGCTCCGGAGAAGACGAAGCAGATGAAGAAGATGGCGAATCATTAGAAGGGTCGGGAGTCGAGTACGAGAAGTAGATGTTACGGAGGATTGTATGGATGATAATGAACTGTGAGAATGGATTCAAGGGACTGGATGAAGTCGGAAGCCGTGTTTCTCCGAGGCTAGTTAGAGCTTGTTGCATCCCTACACCATACAGTCTAGTCGATCCCATTCCGTATGGTGATGGTTTTCTGCAACAAATCGATCCATTCGGCGGCAGACTGCGCTTTCCATATTGTATCGTCGCAAGGCAGACACATGTCAAACTCAGTTGTCTGAAACGATGGGCGCATCGAGAAGAAGACAGAATGACAACAATCGTGGAGATACGAGAGTAATAGAGCACTACAAATGTCGCGCCCGTCAGCACTAGCAAGCTATGTAGATACCATTTGAATTTACCGTTTTACCGTCTCGTGAAGTGCCCATTCCCGCCAAATTTGTTCCAAAATAAGGGGATCGTTCAAATCAGGAACCACCCAAGAGCGGGAGCGAGAGATGGATTCTGTACGTCGGATCATCTACAGACTTCAATCAGAGACGGCATCTCGTCAAGAGAAATAAACGTTGACCTACCATCACTAACATTCCATGGTAGACATTTGACGAAACTCGAAGTTCAGGTCGTTGGTGGAAGAGACCGATCGTTTGGAGCAATACAACTGCGAGTATCAGGAAATCCTGCTCCTTGGGGCTAGAGGTTGCTTTCGTCTGGGCGCACAAAGTATCCGCATCAGAGATGTTTTTGCCAAGGCGGAAACACATACAAATTCGTGGATGAGGGCATCCCGCGTTGATGATAAAGTTTCCGTAATAAAGTTGACGGCCCTGCGCGTTTTGAGGAAGAGCGCTCCGCAGGCTTGCATTGCGCGGATGAGGATGGGCGGCTTGTCTTCTATCGCCCACGAACCCTGGTGTACTATAGGGATTTGTGTACAAAATGCCGAAAAGAATAGATAGACTGAGGGGGATGTCAGCCATCAAATCATTACGGTATGCGGGTTGGCAAACACCCACGGTACTGTTGATTTTCTGTATCGAGCGGCGGAGCACCGCCAATTGGTTCTATACATGCTGGAGATGCCGTATATGGGCCCGGTGAAGGATTAGAAATGAAGGATAGCGGGGATTCGTAGTCCGATGGTGTATGAATGGATACGGGGCTGAGAGAAGACTGCATGAAGGAAAAACAGTCGCCATTCAATCCAGATACGCCGCTAGAGTCAAGCCATGGAAAATCAGGTGATGGTTGTGTCATCGCGGGAGCAGAGAAGGGATGTTTATCGAGAAAGTAGTTAAGTGCGTTGTTGGAGAAGAGTTTTTCCATGGGATCATTCAGGTCACCGCTGCCATCAGTAATAGTGACTGCATCTTTGATAACAGCGTCAAAGATATCTGATAAGGAAGAAGAATGGAACGGTGAGGACGAGTGAAGTGGCGCCGAATCGGCCGTTAACGAGAGAGTAGAATTAGCCATAGGTGACATGCCGCCCTCATGAGATGGAAGTGAGTCGGAGGAAAATGTAGGAGATGATGACGATTCGGGAGAGTCTTCAGCGGGCATTGTTTGAACGGGTTTTCTAAGCCGACGTTTCTTGGCGTTATTCTTCTTGTCGCGCGAGACTGATGGATCGTTTACGTAGACGCATTTCTTGCCGCGAGAAATACATTTTGAGCAAGGATTCTCGAGATTACACTTGATTTTTGAGTCTGCGCAGGCCTACAGCATAATGAGATAAGCAAGAACTGATCAGGGATCTTTCAGACAAACCTGGCAAGACTTTCGTCGAGACCGATGGGCAATGGTCCTATAAGATCGCCATTAGTCGACCTTCTGGCTTTCGAAGACGATCACTCACGGGTCGCCACACGTCCTCTTGTGCCTAGTCAGAAGATCACTTCTGGTGAACTCGGCCCCGCACATCTACAGTTCTAGTCAGTATTATGAACGCCTAAGCTCCGAAGAATGCTGACCTCGCACCGATGCGCACGTTCATTGGTATCTATTCAGGAGAGATGTCAGTCAAGGTCGGAGCGTCCTAGTATTGTGAAGACTGACGGGAACGGAAGTGTCTGTGCAAGTGCGTCGTTCTTGTGAACTTGGCGGGACAAAGAGGGCAGTATTTTGTCTGGGGTAACGTCGGGGCGTTGCCTCGATGAGAACGTATGCGCGAGATATCTCCGTCTGGTTTGAGTTCAACGGCCGACTCCATGATCTGATATGTAGGGGATTCGAGCGGCGAAGGTGGAGGGGACATGGGTGCAAAGAAGCAAGCAAAAAGAATAGAAGCGAATTCCAGTTAAATACGAGGTGCTCCGTCGTCCATGGACGTCCAATCTGTTGAATCAGCACTGATGTATGGCATTTAAGGATCGATCACGATCTACAACTCTAGATCGAGTGGCTTACGTTGTCGGGAGGGTGAGAACGGCGAAGGAATCAATTTGGTACTGTATTTGATGACCGATGGAAATAGACACGGACGAGCATGCATCGATGAGAAAGAACACAGCAACTGTTCATATTCGGCACAATGGGGGTAAAAAAACCAGGCACCACCAACGCGCTGTGATCGTAATAGGGCATCACTGATCAAAACCCCGGGAAGCCAAGCGAACCAGTCCGCCCGAAGATAAGTTATCAATCGTGGATGAGATGCTGAAATACAGCCAAAGTCTCGATAATCAACATCTGTGGGTCGCAGGGTTTATTCATGTTGACCGGCTGTTTCTTTATAAATTTTGGTTAGAATCGGGGCACCGTATAAATAAGAGACCGTACGTATTGGTCTTCCGCAGGGTAGACCATCTAGTTGGGAATTGATTTGCATCGGAGTCATCCGGCGCCGATCCTGCGTCACTGCGCCAGAGTCCCCTCTAGTCATGTTGACTGAGGAGGTACATTACCACCTAATTAACTGTCAAAGAATATGTGATAGGTATCACAGGTAACGATCTCCCTCACGTTGGCCATGCAAGAGATGGCGCTAAGACGAATAAGCTGATTGTAGTCACAGCACTCCTAATAATAGTCAATGCGGCCCAATCCACCCGAAG